TCAGAGCCTGGGCGCGGGAGACGGCGTTTGCGCTCTCCGTTCCATGTGTTGGTCTGGGATGCGGCGAGCCCGGCCATTGCTGCCGGGACTTCGATCTCTTTGACGACAATGACGCTGGCGCCGATCTCGCCGGCCATCATCTCGAGCGTCTCTAGACTCTGTTCGAGCTCTGCGCGGGGAAGACCGACGAGTGCGCCAGAATCGGCCACACCGAGCTCATAGTAGGCCTGACCGCCGCCCTCGAGGAGACGCCACTTGAGCTGGGTGACGAGGCGGGCAAATCGGGCAGGAGAGGGCGAGAGGAGCTGGAGCTTGTATTCGACGTTGCCCTCGTCGTTCTCGGGCACGAGACGGGGGAGGTTGTCGAGGGAGAGAGGGCTAGGAGACGTAGAGAGCTCGATGAGAGAGTCCCAGGGGCTGGGAACACGCGGACTTTCGGATTCTGACTCTCCAAACATACGATGGTCGTTTATAACGATATTCGAGGGATCATTGCAGGTGTTCGAGCCTCGATTACTGTCTTATAATCGATCCATAGTCGTCGTACAATAAGAGTGTCCAATTTCCTATTTGTTCCCTGTACACATTGTGAGTCATCACGGTCGGCTCTGGAAACAGTCTGGTTATTCAAGAATGTGCTCGCTGAACGAGATCCAACGCTACATACGCAGACCATGTATGCCACATCTCCTCTTTCGATTTCGAGTGCTGAGAGAACCATATCTACCGGACAAGGTATTTTGAGAGCTGCGTTGCCTCAAAGGATCACGAATGCACACTGCCATTTCCGGAGCCTTATAGAAATGCCATAAAAATTAGGTCCATAATCTGGCATGATGACAATCCCAATACTTAAGTGGCAGAATCGTTGCCAGAAACTTGAAATCAGACAAACTTATTGAATTGAGGACTCTTGTCGGCATACACGATCTCCTCAAACGGGTAGACTGAAATTTTTGACCAAATTATCTTCCCAAGACAATTTCTAGACCCTGTTTCTGTAAGCCCCATTGCAATCCAGAAGATACCGCAAACTCTCGACTCGGTTCACGGTCGTGGTTTCCATCCCAACACCTGAAAGAACACCATCGCTGGTGCGACATCTATCAAACGCAATCACGGATAAATTGAGGAGCTGAAGAATCACTCTGAGTGTTTTATGCAAGCCCCCTTGCGACTTCGTTGGTCAAAGCAAGCAATCCAAGCGAGTTGATGGAACGAAAGCACTCCAAACTGAGGACGTCGTTCCAATGTATCCCATCAACCGTCAGGGGGCGAAGTGTACAATTGGAACAATTAATATGCTTAAGACTAGAGCACTCTTCAGGACCAAGTAGCCAGAGCACTTCCAAGGACGGAAGAGTGAGGGCGTTAAAGAGCTCTGTGGGGCCGTCTAGAGTTTGGATACTCAATGGCGGAGGTAACGTCGATGGGGAGAGTGAACACAATTACTGAAGAAAACATCTTCGATTTGTGATAAACAAGCCAACAAATTCTGAACACTCTCCGGTCCAAAACCAAGTGTCGTGGCAAATCTTCCTAAGATTCGGCCAATTCAATGCTGAGAAACGGACTGGAATGTACAGATCCCAGAATAATATGCGAGATAGGGAATGGAAATGATTTTTCAGGCATCGTTCTCAGTGATGTGATGTCAAGTCCGTTGTCTGTAGTTGCTTCAGCAGAGGGAGTTTTTCTGGGTACAATTCAGAGTTTAGAGGTCGCAAGGTGATCGCCACATCTGGTGGATAAAGGAAGTCCAGAGCAATCTCAAACTCAAAATGGTACCCACGGACCAGAGGGGCACCACGAGTACGTTTGAGCCAGAGTCGATATAGAACCATGTCATTAGTTTTCCCTAACGAGTGGTATTTAAATGTTGACCAGAGCGGTGGGATAGATATCATGATGTCTCCACCATTTACAAACCTCGCAAAAAACTAGGGGTGCGTGATCAGCTGCTTTGAATTTCCGTCTGTACCATGAGGGATTTAGAGTATAGACAAGAATCTAACCCAAGACTTATGGAGGCAGGCAATGGATTGGTGATGGACCCCACCTGAGCCACTGACGGCATCCGAGATCAAACAGCGAGATCCGAATTCCGACTTCATGCCTTGTGAATTCAAATGATTCGCCGCCAGCCTCTTCGACGTCTCTTTTCCACAACATCATCTGTCTGCCATGATAATCCTCTTGTATGTCTTATTACAACGTGTCTCAACCCATTCTGATGGCTTCATAGGGACTACCACGGCGTGGTGCACCCCCCCAAATGCCGCGGCGAGGTGGGCCAATCGTAAAGCGGAATATACCAAATGTGCGCAAGGTGATCGCTGTAGCGAGTGGAAAAGGAGGTGTTGGCAAGAGTACCATTGCGGGTATGTAAACTTGAGATTTGACTTCGATTTCGTGCAAAATGTTGAAGACGGTTGCATAGTGAATCTCGCGTTTAGTTTGTCGGGACTCAAGGACCCATTGACCTTGACACGGTTGCGCGTCGGTATACTCGATCTTGACGTGTTTGGACCGTCTGTGCCTACTCTAATGGGCCTACAAAACAGTGGAGAACCCGAGCTTACTCCAGGTCCGTCTTTGCGCTCTGGTTCAAGGCTGAACAATTTCTGACATGCACTCAGCTGGCGCTCTTCGTCCACTCATAAATCACGGACTCCCAACGATGTCCATGGGGTATCTTCTTCCTCGTTCTGCAGAAACGGACTCGACAGATGACACGGCCGTTGTCTGGCGCGGCCTCATGGTCCAAAAGGCTGTCCAGCAGCTTCTGTTTGACGTTGACTGGTCACAGAATGGTGGCCCGTTAGATGTTCTTGTGGTCGACATGCCTCCGGGGACAGGTGATGTCCCTCTGACGTTGGGTCAGCTGGTAAAAGTTGATGGTACGTCTGTTCTTCTTGGGTTAGCTGTGCAATGAGCAAAGTTGGAAACCAGGTGCCGTCATTGTATCAACACCTCAAAATGTCGCCCTCGCGGATGTGAAGAAAGGGATTTCGATGTTCCGCAAAGTTTCCGTCCCTGTGAGTTTATTCACAGTCTAAATTCGTTTCAAGCACGGCCTGAATACTACTCCGTCAGATAACGGGACTTGTACTCAACAACTCATACTACCTCTGCCCTACCTGCTCCTCCACAACAACCTCCCATTCACACTCACAGTATCTCTTCGGGTCACCCGATCACTTTAGAGAGACCGCCAACCGCCTGAAAATTCCAATCCTCGCAGAACTCCCGCTTGTGCCGGGGCTGTCGGCTTCTGGCGATAGTGGCATGCCGTATGGGCTTGTCGAGCGGCAGAAGAGGGAAACTGGAGATTCTGGAGGTGGAAAGGTGTGGATTGAGGAGATGGAAGGTGTTGCGGCGAAAGTTTGGAAGAGTGTGAAGGGGGAGATGGGTTCATGAGGAGTGGTCGGTGGAGTTTGTCCGTGTATCTATATGCTCACTGCGCGGTCTGGACCACAATTCCTTTCGCGGATTCTTTGCCACCAATCGTCAGACAAAATATGGATGAAAACGTCGCAGGATCGATGGCGTAGTTGGGCATCGTCATATCTCTGATATCCTATACTGCGATTTTGGCTTCACCATGTCGCCACCGCCGTGATAATGATATTTTGCTTATGAGGTCATGTCTGGGTCGATGGCGTAGTTGGTTATCGCATCTGTCTCACATTAGAATCATAGATTGGTGTGCACACAGGAGGTCCTCAGTTCGAGCCTGGGTCGACTCATTTTGTTTACGAGGATGCTATACCGCTATCCACATTCTTTCAATTTTTTTGCAGCATTTTCACAGGTGTTAGCTTTTCTCAGGCAGACACCATCAGTCCTACTTACGCTGAGTTAGCGCTCTATTTGAAATTCAACTGGCCCTCCAACCCGAGATCTCCACTGATGGCTTCAGCTTCGACTGCGTACAAGTATACGTACGTTATTTATGTCCATGTAAGGTTTTTCGCAAATATTCAAGGGTGACGCAAGAAAAGCAATTCCAAATACGAACAAATGCCCATGATCGGACCTTGAGGCCTTGAGGACTCGGACGAGTTGCAATCCACAACTTGAGCCCGCTTCAACGTGACCTGAGCTGATCCAAGAATCGAGCAACGCTTGTTGTCTCAAACATTGAATAAAAAGAATCTCTCGATCAGATGTCACCTGGATCAAGACAGTCATCACAAACCATCCTCGAATTCACAAAAGGCCCGCGCCAAGCCCTCTCTCAATATCAAAAGGACACAGTTCCGGAATCACTTCGGTATGTAGCTGAATTGGAACTCCTCAGGCCTCAGTATTATCTCTGAGCTCCAGTTCATGTTGCTTGGCTTTCACATTCTTCGTGGGCTGAACTTGCCGCGGCGCGGATTCGTTAAGGCTCTTTCCTAAGTACCTCAATTATAGATTGAAGGTAATTTAAAAATCTGACCGTGTGATATACCGTGACGCGGAAGTGTTCGCCTCAATCTCGGTGTTGGCCTGTGTTGGCCTCTACTCTTCCCATTCCCAGTCTGGCCTTGCGGCTCCAAGAATCATCCGTCCTTTCTCGATCGTAGCTCTGATTGTTTGAATTCGTTCCAGAAGCTCAGCTCGGAAGTACTGTAAAAATGTAATATGGAGTGAAGTGCCTCTTCAGCAAGCTCCAATACAAAATCTGGCTTGACATCGGGTTGATTGTTCAATCTGCTCTGACCGAAGATGGTCTATATCATACATGTGACGCTCGTACCGTGTTCGCGATGTCTTCCAAGACTAGGACGGGCTCAAGACGGTTTTACTTTGGCTTCTCGGCTAATCCTTTAACTTCTATCGACATGCTATAAAACGCCTCCACTCAAACTATTGGAAGTCGCCCTGGCCATGATTCTTCAGTATTCTATTGTCGCTCTTGCACTTGCCTTTCCGGCACTCGCACAACAACTAGTGTACGCGCAATGTGAGTGAACCTCCCGGTTGAATCTTCTGTTCTTTACTGATTCTTCTTTGTGTTTAGGTGGAGGCATTGGTTGGACTGGTGGCACGACGTGTGCCGCTGGTACTGTCTGTACTCATGTGAATGATTGGTACTACCAATGTCTGCCTGGAACTGCAACAACCCCCACCACGCCGACTACCACTCCTGCGACTACTCCTACCACAACGCCCACGGCGGTTCCCACTACGACTCCTACTGCATCTCCTACCTCCTCCCGTGCTGGAACTGCGACCTGCTCAGCTCTCCCAAGCAGTATCGCACCGACGTCGAATGCCAAGTTACCCGATCCCTTCAAGTTTGTGGGCGGAACTCGTACTTCTACAAAAGCAGACTGGGATTGCCGTCGTGAGGAGATCTCTCAGCTCCTCCAGCGCTACGAGCTTGGAACGTTACCGCCCAAGCCCCAGTCTGTCACCGCGTCCCTCTCTGGCAACACTCTCACAATCAATGTCTCTGACAGTGGAAAGTCAATCTCCTTCTCTGTCACCATTTCAGTCCCTTCTGGCGCAACTGCTCCTTATCCTGCCATCATCGCTTATGGTGGCATGAGCATCCCCGCGCCGTCGGGTGTCGCCATTATTACATTCAACAACGACGATATGGCTGCTCAAGTGAACAGCGGCAGTCGCGGTCAAGGCAAATTCTATACTCTCTATGGCTCCGGACACTCTGCCGGGGCCATGACTGCATGGGCTTGGGGTGTCTCCCGCATTATTGATGCCCTCGAAATAACACCTAATGCCAACATTAACCTTCAGCGCATCGCAGTCACAGGATGCTCGCGCAATGGAAAGGGTGCTCTTGTTGCAGGTGCCTTTGAAACCCGTATCGCACTGACAATACCCCAGGAGTCGGGCTCGGGTGGCGCTGGCTGCTGGCGCATTTCTGATGACATGCTTGCTAGTGGCATTGACACACAGACCGCGTCTGAAATCGTCCAAGAGAACGTTTGGTTCTCCCCTCTGTTCAACCAGTACGTGAACCAAGTGGGAAACCTTCCTTTCGACCACCACATGCTCTCTGCTCTCGTTGCGCCCCGAGCCTTACTCATTATCGATAACACGGGTATCGACTGGCTCGGCCCACGCAGCGTTTGGGGATGTCAAACGACGGCGCATGAAATCTGGAAGGCGTTGGGAGTGCCAGATTCCATGGGCGTGTCTCAGGTTGGGAACCACAACCACTGCGCATTCCCTTCCAGCGAAGAGGGTGACCTTGACGCCTTTGTTAACAAGTTCTTGAAGGGGCAGAACACGAATACAAACATCATCAAGACCGATGGCGCGAACAACCTCGGCTTCGTAGCGGCAAACTACGTTGACTGGACCACTCCCACTCTCACGTAGATGCGTCCTGAAGAAAGGGGTATCATGTTGAGAACATCAAAGGGCAACGATCATTGTGCAGAGATTGTATGCGCTTTACATAATTCTTGATTGCGTAGTGCCAACGAGAATTTATGTTCATACTTCAGAAAGGTTCTGGTTTGGTTCTAACATGCAATACGACCCTGCCGACCGTGGCGTGATCAAATATGGAATATGTACTACTACTACTAAGTAAAGGCGGACTCTTTCCGTTATCCTTCGTACAACGGAAGGTAAAAGACACATGACATCCCAAATCACGGTGAGCGAGAAATCTTGGACGTTATGAATCAGAGCTTCTCAAGCTACACACTACTTTAAACGCCCTCCCAAACAGACCTTCGGCCGCGGAAGTTGCCGATTTTCTTTATAAACACGCCCAAGAATAACCAGTTATGACAAACATCACTCTCACCGCCAAGTCCGGCAGCGATTGGTCCGAAAATGAACTTATGGCTTTAATTATTACCATCACAACAGAGTCAGCTGCGCAGTTTTTCGGACGCGACTTACCTAGTATCGATAATCTTAATCCAGACCTCTTCGTCCCCTACGATCAATGGCCTGAGGTAGAGGATCGTGCTGTCCGTAACGTTCTGTCCTCCATCGGCTTGCTCTGGAATCCCGTTGTCGTATTGTCCCTTTTGATATCTTGCTACATATCGGCGCTTACTGTGATCTAGCCGAATCAGTTACCGACATGTACGGCTAGATATATGTTTCAGGCTCTCAACTTTGATTCCAACCGTCGTGTCGTGCTCGAGCGTTATCCTATCCCATTGAAGATGCACGGCTCGGATTGTTGGGCAAACACTGATGTTACTTTGATGTCATACGACCGCCAAGTGTTCTGCGTTGTTTAAAAAGATAAACCCGAGGACCGTGTGTACAAGCTGCCCGAAGCGTAGCTCATAGCTGAAGCCATTGCAGCTGCTCAACAAAATAACGCCTCGCGCAGCATGAGGGGGCTTCCGGTGAAGGACATGACTATTTTGGCGATTGTGATGGTTGGTATGGTACCAGTGTTTTATCAGGTTCCGGTGTCTTTGGAGCTTCAAGAAACTGTTGGATTTGGAGGTCCTTACCCTTCCCAGACCATCATCAAGAGGTGCCAGATTGAAGCTCCTCATATCAGGGACAGTCTAAAGTATATGCGTGATATTGAATACAGGAAGTATGTTATTCAGCATTACTTACTCTTTTGTGACCTGGTAGACGAGAACAGCCAAGACATCATGCCTTAGTTAATTACACCTTCCACCATTGTCCATCATATGCATCTGATATTTTTTCTGTTCTGCTTTGTATAACAATTCAGGTTCATCCTCCCAGACTTTCCTGTGCAACTATGGCTATCTAACCAGAGTTTGTAATATTGAGGACTGTCCTTGTATCTGTTGATGGGCCATGCTCATGTCAGCTGATCACACCGAAACAAGTTTGATAGAAATTTATCATGGGATGAAATGTGATGACTTTCATTGGCCAAGCCCTGACCAACCATGTGTTTCTATTGTTCAAACTAGGATGCTGTTGTACTACTGCCAGTATATTAATGTGAATCTAGAGTTGTTTGAGTCTTTCCATTGTCTTGTCAAGTTTGCATTGTGTCCAAGGATGCCTCTGGATGTGCCTACAAGTTCCACAAATAGAGGTGGAAGCTTAAGAGCATTGCAAGCTTGAGGGAGGGCTCAGACCAATTATAATACACTTGATGTATCTCAAACACTGTATAGGACTGCATGTGGTTGTGGCCATGGTGGAGGCAGATCATGGTTTACGGTGAGTAAGAGCTTTTTATTTTAATATCTGTAAACCAATCTATCTTCAGGCAGCCTAGTCAAGCAGGAGAAGCAGCCCTCAATCTACATACACATAATCCTTTGCCTTCTTTAGGCTCTGACTCACATACTAATGAAGGCTCTAATGCCTTCAGAGATGACTTGCTTGTTGCAGGATCCAACCCTATATCAGAATCTGATTTCAGGCCACATACTAGCATGGTCTCGGAGCCTGATGGCCAGAGTACAGCAACAAGCACTTTTTCTGGAGCTTCTCATGCAAATCTCCCACATGGATATCTTAATCTTCACAGCAAGTGGTTTGTTCAAACACTGCTTGTGCTGGTTCTGTTTCTTCACACAAAGTTCCACTTATCATTCCATGGCTGCAATCTGATTCTCTTTTGCTTGAATTTTGTTTTTGTGGCTCTTGGATATGATATTGAAGGCTTTCCTCTCTCACT